GCTGCAATTGTGAAGGCACTATTCCCAATGTGGGTCACAGAGTTCGGAATGGTCAAGCTCGCCAAAGAGCTGCAATTGTGAAAGGCACCATCCTCAATGTTCGTCACTGAGTTTGGGATTGTCAAGCTCGCCAAAGAGCGGCAACCCTGAAAGGCCCGTTTCCCAATGTGGGTCACTGAGTTCGAGATGGTCAAGCTCGCCAAAGAGCTGAACTGCTGAAAAGCACTATCCTCAATGCGGGTCACTGAGTTTGGGATGGTCAAGCTGGCCAAAGAGCTGCAATTCTCAAAGGCGCGAGCCCCAATGTGGGTCACAGAGTTTGGGATGGTCAATTTTACCAAAGACTTGCAATCAGCAAAGGCGAAACGCCCAATGTAGGTCACTGAATCTGGGATGATCAACTGGACCAATGTGGGGCAGTCTTCGAAAGCATGTTCAATAATTTGTGTTTCATCGTCAGGAATTTCGACCACAAGGAACAGTTCCGAGTCAACAATACCACCAAGACTGGCGATCGCATCTTTGTTGGAGCATATTACTTTGTTGGGTTTGAAGAGAACAGTCATGACAAGATCTTCAGCAATTCCAGCGTCCAATACCTTTGCATCGCTGGCCAGCAAGTGGTCGTCTCCAAAAATGATCTCCACGCCTGTAGTGCTGCGAGTGAGCTCGTCCCAAGGCTGCCCCTCCTTAATCTGCTGCTTGAGGGCCCAGCCTGTTGTCTCTGGCGTGACTTCAAGAACGAGGATTTCACCACTTGGCTGTAGCGCAGAAATAGTTGTTGCCATGGCTCAGCCACTACCGACCGACTCAGGTTTGAACTGATTGCTTTTTGACTATAGCCTTAATTGAGTCCATGACCATGAACACATCTTTGGCCTTTTCGCTGGACAGTGCACACTGCCGTCGACATGGACATCATGCACGTTATATATAGTGTATACATATATATATATATATACACAGTACTATTCACAGTATATATACCAGGACCATCCTGTCTGTGTGGGACTGCCCCACACTACATGTACATTGTAAGCTTCCAAGATCTTCCAGGTATATACATACATGCGACACGTCTGGTCTGATCGTGCTGTGAGAACGCTGTCCGACACGCCTGGTCTGGGCGCCACGTGACCTGAAGGGCGACCTTCCTGGGTCCTACCCTCCACGTGCACCACCTGATTGAAGATTCAATAGCTGTCGTATTAGGAAAACAGTCAGTACACTCCCGAAAACTCATATAGACCCTGACGTCCTGGCCCCTTGGAAGAGTGTTTTCCTCTATCAACCAGTGGTCCATATGAGGAAAACAGTCAGTCACTTTGGGGGCATTCCATCTCCTCCATGATTCTGGCGAACGTCATGACCACATGTCTGAAAAACTATTGCAGGCCATAAGGAGTCATGAAACACAGAAGAGCTGTACTGGAACGTGTTCACGTCATGTCTGAGACTGTTTGTCCTGTATGCACCACACGCTTGTGGTGGCCTGAAAACGGGTTCTATCCAGGAAGGTTGGTTTGTCCTTGAATCAGTCAGCATCACAATCTGCGACAAAGACCCGTTGGAGGGTCCTGGCCGGTGCTACAGTAGCCTTCACCAAGGGCTCCAAAGACTCCCATTGTAGACTGAGATCCAGGGGCCATTGGTTCTTCCCTTTGGTCTTTTGGGGCTACATAGATCAACCTACGCCCATCGTTCCAACCCCATTCTTTGGCATGGTTTGATCGATGAGGCTCAACCATCATTGGGCACTTTTCACAGTGAAGATTCTGTGCATCTTGCGCCCAATGCAGCTTGGCTCATCGTACTGAGCTGTAGGTCATCATGTGCGGAGCAGGGGAGAACAACTCCCCGAGTGCTGGTCAGAGTCAAAGGTTCTTACAATACCAATCAATCGGATCTCACCCGATTCACCCATCTTATCCCAAGCAATCCATACATGGCATATCATATACTCTGGAGCTATAGAGATTAATACTAGTATTAATCTAATTGATGCTTGATGATAGTTGCCTAGATGGAAGAATGGTGCTATTATGTTTCAAGGGTCAGCTGTACTTGAATCAAATCCAATCCCACGGATGATTTGGGGGTCTTGTGCGCCCGTACACTGGGCACCCACCGACCTCGCAATGCTCCGATGAATCAGCACCTTCCAATGAAGATTCTGATGGACTCTGGAACTGAACTCCTCAAGTGTCGCCATGGCTTTTCTCCTCAATTTCTGTGCAAAACCCAAAGTAGACCCACTCTAACCAAAGGCCCCTTTTCTTCGGAACCACGGTCGTGGTAAAAGTCGCTTCTTCACACCACTGAGGACCCTCTTTGAGAGCCGCTCCCTCCGCAAGCAGACCAAGCGAGCTGGAGGCGGACGAAGTCTGCTTGGGGTTCAGAGACGGGCTCCACAAAGACGTCGCCTGAGGTGACTGGACCAAACGTCGCCAGTCAGGCGACTGGACCATACCCAAACCATGAATGGGACTGGTCTGGAGTTGTTTACTTCGGGGTCATTCATCGGGGGTAAAATGGGATA